ACCCCAAGGTCTCTGGGATTTGCAGTTCAGAATTACAGCAACAGGACTCTGCAGAGTTGCTTTTCACCTCCTCTTCCTACTTCCAGGTTCCTCTGGGATTTGTAGTCCACAGTCACAGCCAGCAGTACATTTTTAGCAGGGCAGGGCAGCTCTGTACTCGGTGGAAGGAAAGTTTAACTCTTCTCCCTGGCCCAGACCCCAGCTGGGGTTTGCCCTCCTCCCCCACCAACCCTTCTCTGCTGGGCAGACAGCACAGCACAGCCCAGGGCTGGAAAGCACGCTGGGATGCTTGAGGGCTGTCATTTAACTTGAACCAGGAAAAGTGCCATTGGATGGGGAACTACCAGTAAATCCAGAAGGTTGTACTTTCCATGGGCTAAGCCAGAGCTGTATTGGCTAAGTAGCAGTAGTGTAACAATGGATGGGTGAGCACAGCATGAGCCCCAGGTGCTGCCCCTCTCCCTCCCATTCCTTGATTCTCCCCTTCCCTGGCACTTTGCACCTTCTCTGACAGCAGGGAGGGCAAAGCAGCAGCAGCAATGCATATTATAGGAGCAGCATCTGGAGGTTTGCTCCTGTGAGGGTGAGGTGTCATCTTTTTGTCACTGAAAATTGGTGGTTTAAATGGCCCCTCACCCCACACATTAGGTGCAGTACTGGCCAGTTATGCCTCTGCTACTTAGGGAGAGGCTCCAAAAAGTGCATTCTCTTTTGTTGCATTAAAACCTATTCTTGTCAAAGACATGACCTAAAAATAAATATAAAGACTTCAAGTAGGTGAACTATAGGTGTTTGGAAATCAAGAATTCCAATATTCACTAGACTATTAAAGTTTATTTTCTCCTAGAAATGGTATCATTCAGCAAGAATAGAATAGAATAATAGACATGGCTACACATGTATTTATCAAAGTAACTGGTAGGTGTTTCAGTCCAGTATTTTAAGGATTTATCAATTTACAGAGCTACAGAGATAGGATGGAATTTCAGAAACATTATAATGTTTTCAGACATTAGAGCATTAAGGAACTCATAGACAGTAGTCATTTATAAAAGCCAGAACTTTTTACTCTCCACATCCCTCTCCCAAATTCAAAGAGGTGTCACAACTATGCATATGGAACACTGGGATATTTTCCAAAGTACTATGTACAAGAGGCAGTAATGTTGGAAATCAAAATGCATGTGTATTGGGGATAACAGGTTATCCAGGATTTATTATTTTTCTCAAGTTTCATTGTTTATTCACCTTCACAGATTTAAGCAAAAAAGAATGGTTATAATAGTTTTAATACTGATTTTGAATTATTATTATTATTATTTTTAACTTATCTTCACATAGAAGAAATGTGGCTGGAACCAGATCTTACCCTTTGCTACCTTGCAAACATCGTCAGAACATCTACCAAAAATACAGCAATTGTATATATCCACTTCATCCATGCCTGCTCTTGATATCATCTCAGATTCCTGCATATGAGGTATGAATTTTTTTAAAGGCTTCTTTTTTTTTGGGTGACTCGGTTTCTGTGTGCCCAAACTGTGCTCAATATTGCAGAGCTTTACAAGAGACTTTTCTTCCTTCCTTGAAGAAATGCACTATACTCAATGAGTGCAGCAGAAAATTACAGTAACATCTGTAAAGTAAGTCTTTGGGTCCAAATGATTCTTACTGACAGAAATTCAGAGTTTAACATGAAATTGATTTTAAAAATGCTGCTTGCTCAAGATGAGATTTTCAAATGTACTAATACACATATGATTTAAAGTTCATAGATTGTTAGGGGCTGGATGGGACTTTGCAGATCATCAGGTCCAGCCCTGCACCCACTCTAGGCAGGAAGAAAGCTCCTGTGTTTTAAGTAATAATATGTGAAAGTTGCTTTACAAATGTATGTAAAGTGTCATGTTAAAAGCAGCCTACACTGCATATTTATTTAAAATGTGTCTATAATCTCAGCTTCAAAAAGTAACAGTGAGGGAAAAATGCAGAACACAGAGCTGAACCACCAAGCAGCATTATTTTGTTCCCTGATAAAGATAAGGACCTGGTCCTACCATCTACTGCATGTAGGCAACCTGCTGCACATCTACAAAATACCATTAACTTCAAGCCCATGCCCAATAAGTGTCATAGTGAAGAGCCTGGTTATTGTTAACCTTACATGGAGGCTTTTGGAGAGAGATCCACCTGGAATTATAAAGTCACTTCTTGATATAGTGACTTATTATTATTATTACATATGATACATAACGTGGTACAGTCTACAACAGTGGTATCAAACTTGTCCAGCCCACAGGGCCAGATGATGGTCTCTGTGCCAGTCGGCAGGCGAGATCCAACTGTGCCAGAGCCAGCTCTCACCCCAGACCAAACCCCTGGCTGTGAGTGGAACCCACAGCACCAAGTCCAATCCATGCACCAGACTGGCTCTGCATGCTCATGGGCGGAATCCTTTGGCTCCACAGGCCAGATTTGGCCTGTAAGTTATATGCTTGACACCCTGATCTACAACATTTTAACTGATTTAGAAATTATACTTATCAAGGAATCACCTTCTTGAGAAATACATGAATTGTCATTCTTAAATAATTTCTTCCTGCAGATGGTTCTGGATAGCACTAAGCCAGAAGTAGTTCCCGTGGTATATGAACATAGTGGAATGACATTGGAAAGTCTCTTTTTTTACATAGAAAAGGCCCTGGATGGCCGAAAAGCAAGGAGTATTGGAATTTTCAGTGATGGAGACTCCAGAGAAATCAGTTTGCTTCAAGGTAACGGTTAGATTAAAGAGCAGAAACAAAATAATTGGTAATATTTCGCATGCTATCACATGCTGAGTTTTCCCAAAAGGGACAGTAGTATAAATCTGAAAAATTAATCCCACTATAATGAGTTTCTAGCAGGAGGATCTACACCTTCTATTGTAGTTACCTGGGAAGAAAGGGTTGCCTAGATGTAAAAGCTTACAGGACAAGGAGTTTAGTAATCAGTTAAAAACAAGGAGACTGCAGAGTAATTTCTGATATTATCTTTATAAGGGTATGGAGACCCTGAAGACAAGCCATAGAACTAAAAGTCTGACCAGGAAGTTAAATAAGGGATTCAAGGAAGATGAGAAAATGAAGCAAAAGAGGAGAATTAAAAAGCAGCCCCATAAATAGAAAATAGTGGTCACAGGAGAAGGTGTGTGAGAGGAGAGGGGTGGACTATGATACAAAGAAATAAATTTAGGGGTAGAAGTAATTAAAAAAAACATGGAAGGGAAGTAATCTCACAGTTTGCAAGTTATGGAACATTGCACTTATTCATACTTGCTACTTTTATTATATTGCCCTAAGACAGTTGAAGGGATAGTAATCCAAAGTGCAGATGAGATGGATCTTTTAGCAGATTAAAACCTCAAATTCTATTTCTCTTCATTCATTGACTTTCATTTTAATCTGTTTCAGGCTGCAGAATTAGTATTGAGAACATTTTGAGCTCTGAAATTAGAGAATTTTGGGAGAAGCTAGGAGGTTGTGTCACTTCTCCTGAGGAAGGCGGCCATGTGGACATCTTTGTTCCTTTGGCAGCATCAGGTCAGTATTGTTTGAATTTGGGTAAGAATGGAGAATGATCCTGCTCATTGTGGACTAGGGTTCCTTGGAACATTTCCACTGAAATGTATTTTGGAAGAAAATTGGAGTTAAAACAATGGTTTCTACAAAAAGTGTCATCTTTTGGTAGAAAACTAAAATTTAGTTGAATAATCTGAACACCAGAAAGCTTTGTGGAAGTTAAGAATTTGGGTCCTCAGCTACAGAGCTGGACTATATCTTTTATCATGCATGGGAATCCTCTTACATGGTCGGCAGACTCATCAAAAGGAATGACCATGATACATTATACATTTTGTACTCTGGCCCAGGAGCATGGTTCATAGAGGAGAATGAGGACATACAACATCTAAGCAACAATTCTCATAGCAGTTTAGGAGGCATTGTTTAATATCTAACAACCCAGACATACCTGTTTAGTTCCACAACCCATTTTTTTTTTTCATTTTTAGAATTTAAATTTTTAGGTTTTGACTGAGTTATTGACTTCTGGGGGAAAACCAGAGGTTTATCTAACAGGCTTTGCACACTTGCCAATTGTCTACTGCTCCCTGACTTGCAGGGTCAAGGAGCCAAGTGCTGGAGGGGAGGGAAGAGGGTGTTAACCTGTCTAGGGTGCACCTGCACCCAGCTCTTGCAACTGGGCAGTACAGGACTGTTTCTTCCAGAAGACCTTCTTCACTGTTAGAATTGTAAGGCAGTGGAATAGACTCCTTTTTTTGACTGAATAACTACTTGGGTGGATGAAGGAAATGCTGTGGACATAGTGTATCTGGACTTCAGCAAGGTTTTTGACAAGGTCCCACATGACCTTCTCATAAACTGGACAAATGTAGGCTGGACAAAACCACTACAAGGTGAATAGAAAACTGGCTCAATAGGCACAAACAAAGGCTAATTAATTATTAACAGATCCATGTTAGAGTGGCAGGAGGTTCTGAGTGGAGTCCCACTGGGGTCTGTCCTGGGCCCAGTGTCCTTCAGTGTGTTTATTAATGATTTGGGTGCTGGCATAGAAAGCTTCACGAGCACGTTTGCAGATGACACAAAACTGGGAAGGATTGCGAACACGGCGGAAGATGGGAACACAATTCAGAAGGATCTCAACAGATTGAAAAGCTGGGCTGAATCTAGCAGGGTAAAGTTCAATGAGGACAACTGCAAGGTGCTATACCACAGGAAGCAGCAGCAAAAATACCATCAGAAAATGGGAGACACCTGGCTGCATGGTAGCACTATGGAGAAGGATCTGGGCATCATAGTAGATCTGCTACATGTGAGGGTGTTTTTAAGCCTTCTTCAGGGGACTTTGACTGGGGTGTGCCAATGAACCAAAGCCACAGGTTTCTGGCTACGGTCGTGCCCCCTCCACTCAGGGTCAGACTGATTACCATACTTGGGGTCAGGAAGGAATTTTACCCCATGGTCAGACTGATACAGACGGAAGGTTTTTGCCTACCTCTGTAGCAGGGGGTGTGGTCCTCTACCTGGGATCTCTTGAGCATATATAGACATTTCATAAAAGCAGGACATTGACTGCCATGGCTCCCCTGCTTTACCTGTGGCAGGTTAGGGTGCGGTCTTTGTTGTGTCAGGGTTGACTGTAGTCTTATGTAGAGTTTAGATTATGGTTTGCACAGCATAGTTTGGATGGGGATGATCCTGCCTCAGGCAGGAGGTTGGACTAGATGACCTCTGGAAGTCCCTACCAGTCCTACTCCTGCATGATTCATTCTGTGATTCCCTGGCAGATTCCAGGACCCCTCTCCCCCCACGTTGGTGCCTGGGGCTGGTGCCCAATCCCCTCCTGCCTACCGGTTATGTTATGGGGGAAAACTACTGACTATCTGCAGGGAAGACAACCCAACATTTTCTAACCAGTTTTAGCACTGATTTTGGTGTGCTTAGGAACAAACTATTCAGTAATGAGTCCATTATCAGGAGTAGTTTCACTCAGTATCTGATGTATTCTGTAGATTTCTCAGAGATCTCTATTGTGCATTCACTATTTTGAATACCCCACCTCTATTTGTTTATTTCTGATATATTCAAGCTTGATGCTGAGTAACTCGTGGAATTACAGAGCAGCCATTAACTTAGCATCCTTCAGGCTTAGGCCTTTAGCTGGCAGAAAGGAGTTCACTTCAAGAACTAAAGAACATAGATTCCTGTCATTTTCTTATCTAGAAGCATACAAGATGCAAAGATTCTGGTGTGGACACATGTACATATGGAGTAGTTTTAAAAGAAGAATATTTAAAAAAAGGCAGCAGCTGTTGCATTCCTATTGTTATGTTAATGAGCCAAAATCATACAAAAGTTGTAGTTTTGCTATATTTGCTTTGTTCTTTGCTCATTCACATGTGACTTACATTACAGTGTAAGTGTCTTCACAGACTTTAGACCTAAGCTAGAAATATTTTCCTTTATTATGGGACCTCATACCAAAGGCAACTTTTGTTGCACAATGTTCACCTTAGTGGATTCAACTGTTGCCTCACGCTATTATCATTATCTTGTTGAGACACAAGGCATCTTTCATTCTTCTTGAGCAGAGTTTTCAGAATTATGGGACTGTATATTTGTACATTTATAAATCAATGTGGTGTCTTTTTTCATTCTCTAGCCCTGGACAAAGCTAATATTCATTTTGATGTCATTAATAGTAGTGTGGAGAAAAAGGCTATGGCTAGTGGATTCTGTTGGCTGAAATATTTTACTGATGGAGATAACTATTTCATGAACTAAAGCAAGCAAAATATAACTTTGCAGAGACAGGGATGGAAGTCCTCTCCCACCTGTCTCATCTAACTGGTGTGTTCTTCAGAACTCCTACAGGAATAGCAACTAGATCCTACCAGCACAGTAAGTACAGAAATTTATTACATAACTTTGTAAAGGAAACTGTATAGGCTTCTTTCCATGTACAGCTTCAGTTAAACCATTTTTTGAAAATGTTAATCACATTAGAGAGAAACTTGTTTTTCCAATAAATAAATAATTTAGGTATTAATTTATGAAAAAAACAAAGAAAAATTAGTCTAATTCTGTAACATAGGGCTGAAAGTCAATATACGATAGGGAGTTGTAAATTTGTAGGTTGATCAGTTTTAGATAGCTCAATACGTTTATCAAATATCTAGAGTGATCCTCTACATTTACAGAATATGTAGGCTTAAAGCTATTCTCTTTTACTACCTCTACAACAATTTTAATATCCCATATTGGGTAAATTCCTTTTTGATGTAGTGCTATTTGCTTAAATGTCAATTTAGCATGATGAAGGCATGGTAGACCAAATAGTCTTCCAGTATATTTTGATCAGCAGGGATCCTGGTTTTCTCCAATTTAAAAAAATCCCCAATTTAAAAAAAAAACAAAAAACAAACAAACCCCAAATCCATGTGTTTCCATGATTAAAATGAAAGACCACTATATATATGAAAGCATTGCATTTAAAGCACAGAATAATGTTACTTTTTTCAACCAAAAATTGGGTTTTTTTTAAATCGGAGAAAACCAGGAATCCTGTTGATCAGACAGGAGAAAATGGAGAGAGGGTAGTCTGCTACACCTATGTATAAATTCAGCCACTTGGGTCTCTGTATTTTGCATGAAGTGCCTGATACATGTTAAAATGTAATGTAAAATAGTGTCAGTTCCTGAATAAAACACAGTTACATCCAGGCCCATCGGGGAGCTGGGTGGAGCGGCCGCAGAGACTCCGCGGTGCTGCCAGCTTCACGTCCAGCCACTCGGCCCCACCACCACTGAATCCGCCGCCGGCTTCTTTGCATCCGGGGGCAGAGCCCTGCACAGGCTGATTTGCCCCGGGCCCCGCACTCTGCTTGGGTCACCTCTGGTTGCATCCATTATTTCCAAAAGGGAATGTATTTACTATTCTGTCTTAGTGGAGTAAAATTCTATGCTCAATGTGATCTTCAGACTAGGCGTTTGAAACTCAACCAGTCTCCTGTTGAAATGCCGTAATAGGCTCTACTATAGCGTTAGGTGAAATGATTGTTACGCAAGCAGAAGTCTGAATTTTCCGAAACCTGTCTGATATTTACCACAGAATGAACCAGAAAAGAACGTTAACTTGTTGTGACACTGTTCCCACAGTTTGACCTGAGCAGCTACCCAACTTTTGGCGTCTAGTGAGTGAGTCCCACTAGGAGGAGGTAGTAGGGGTGGAGTTAAGTACTTCTTTGAAGTCCTTTTGTGCATTTATAAATAATGTATTGAGTTCCGTTTCCCTGGGCACAATAGCAATCAAACAGCAGCAGAGCGCGAGTCTCTTTGCTCACATACAAATGCTCTCGCTTAGCTTCCTTCTCAGTCATGCTGCCAGTGCTTCTCTGATTTTACTGTTTCTCTTTGTTTGTCTTTGCTTCTGCTGCTTATCCAAACAGACAAATAAATCTGACCTATGCCCCATCCCCAGCATTCGATATCAGATTCTAGGGAAATCCTTGGAATTTGGGATTAGGACAATATGGTTCAGCTTCCACTCAAGCCTTCTCAATGCACCTGTGTTTTGAGTGTTGATCCCATTACAGCTATCTGTTATCATAAAGGGGCTTGCTAATGTCTTATATTTATATGGATGGAAGAGTAATGGTTACCTCCACCAGATTCAATAATAATAATATCCTCAGCCTAATAATATCCTCAGTTCTTAGTGAATGGCTAGGAGAGCAGAAGGATGGACCTCCTACTTCCATTTATTTCACTGAAGTAAAACTACAGATGTGGCTCAGACTGACAGAGCTCATGGAGGATGCAATGAAACCCATCCGCAAGCAAATGAGACCATATTTGAGAGAGCTGCAGAAGAACATTAGTGACAGGCTTATTGGTAAGACTTCTCACTGCCATTTTGTAATAGATATAAAACTAGGATACACTCAAAAAGCACAAGAACATGCAACAAGAAACACAGTTCATTGAACTGTCATATTTTGAATTTGATTGCCACTTCCCACCCATATACCACATTATGTTTATTAGCTTGGCAAGAATAATCTTCTGTACAGCACAAAGTGGCTATTAAATATTACCTATAATAAAATTAATATTTCCAGTGTTACATCAATTTACACAAAAAAGCAAAAGGCATGGGGGGAGAGAGATTTTTGACCTGCACAATCATAAAAGTGATAGTGCTAAAAAAATAAACATTTGAATAAAAATACCTCTAAACTATACTGCTCAGTATGCTAGCTTGTTTGCTAGTAATCTGGGGTTTCAGCCTAAAATTCTCAGATTAGGAACCATCACATGCAGTTTGGCTAGCTCAGGGCTCTTTCTATATGAACACATGTACCATGCAGCAGTTAGATGACGTGTACACAGAACCGTGCGGAGATAGCCAAGTTAGGTTGGGGACAAAATTATCGTGGGCAGTGCCCTCTGTTATTGCAGTTACACTACTGGTACCAAGACAGTGAGGCAGGGATGCAGCTGGGCACCCAGGGCACAGGGTCACCACCAACTTCTGGAATTGAGATTGCACAGTTGCTGGTAGCAGCTGACTTTTTTTGCCTCCCAAACAGGCACCTGGGGTAGTTGCCTCCTTTGCCTCATCCTAGTTACACCACTGAGTATTGGCACACCATAAGATCCCAGTTGTAATTCTCAAGAATAGAAACCTTTCTGTAGAAAACTTCCAAAGTGAATGTAGTTCTGGGGTCTCTAGTTTAAAACAATGCTAAGGAAATGTCTCCACTAGACTTTGGTCTCCAGTTGAGTTTGAAGGGCTGGCAGTTGTTATGAATCCCCAAAATATCAGCCTGCTAAATCCCCCTCACTAGAATATAATGACTATGGTGAACAGTTTCCACAAAGGTGGTAAGTTTATCACATCCATTGTGACTTGCATAATTCTTGATCTTCTGTATTCAGGTCACTTTATGTTTGATGCCATTAGCATAGGCAGAATAAGCACTGATCAAGAAGTAGCCCAGACCACAGCTGATGGATTAACTGAACTGTCAAAAAGAAGCTACGTAAGTAAAATTGTTAAGCTTAATGACTGTTGTGCAAGGGTTTATGAATATTTATGTAATACTGTTTTCACTTTACAAAGAAATACTGTGCCAGCTTATAAATGGATAGATACGTACCTCTCCATTGCTCTAATGTCAGGTCATATCCTCCTTCTTTCTGGTTTCGAGTCCCAGTTAGCAATGTGTCCTCTAAGAGCAGATGCTGTTTGCAAAAACTACTTGCATGGATTGCTTGCTGCTGTTTCACAAACTTCTCTAGTCATTCGGTCCATCCACAGCAAGCTTAGACAAGTTAAGTATTATGATCAAAATTCTTGAAGGACTGGGAACGCATGTTGATTAATACATAGAGACAGGAAACACAGTATACAGGAGGGTACTGGATTCCCATTAAAAGAATATTTAATTTCTTCACAAGAAACAAAGCTAAACTATTTTATGAGGAAAATAGTCTTCTGCAGTACTCAGGAACTGAGGCAAAGGAGGTTAAATCAAATCATCAAATAGAATATTAAACATTTTGCCAATCTTTAGCACAGGTCTCTATAGTGATGATTATGTTATTGGGATAAATGCATGCTTGCATCTATGAATGTTAGTGAAGTGCAAACTGGCAATATTTCAGGACCTAAAGTTTGAAACCAAAATTATTCCTATCAGCCCTTTTCAGCTGGCTTTTTGAGGGACTTCAGAACACTTTATTAACTGAAGAAATTGTCTGCGGACAGGTCTGATTTAAGGTCTGGTTATTACTGTATTCAAATAACAAACTTGAATATAATTATTAACAATTGATTAAAAAAGTTAGTTACATCTTAGACTAACAAATGAGGTCTTCTTGGAGCTGATGGATGTTTTTCAAAACGTTGACAACTTTTTAATTCTGACAGAAAAATAAAGTGTCATATATTTGTGTTTTCATCTGAAAAATAGTAGAAAGTGTTCAGTTTTTGAAGTTTCATTGAAAAAGAAACAGTGATTAATTTTAACAAAAGAATAGTAAAAAAAAGTGACATTTTTGCCAAAAAAAATTTGAACAGTTCTTGTTATAACTCAACATTTCAGCTTGCTTTACCAATTTCAATTTTTAAAATTCTGAGAAGTGCAAGTTAATAAAATCTTATCTACAGCTTTTAAATCTACTGCAGGCATACTTTTAAATCTATGCAAGCAAGCAATATGGTAGAATTTCTCATCTGCATGGAAGAAATAAGTTATATCAAGGGGAGTCCACATGATTAACCAACATAGCTACAATCCCCCTTTTTTTCCCCTTTATCTGTCAGGCTTAGAGTTACAAAATTGTCAGCCTCTATTGGCATAAGGATTGAATTCAGAATTCCCCCTTCCCTCCACAGTGGCCTAACTGCCAGCCAGTCTAAGCTTTGGAACCAATGTAAATACATATTTATGAGGACACATTTATTTTTACAAGGATGCAGTCACTGAACACAGCACCTTGAAAAAAAAACAACCAAAAACAAAAGCCCTCATGCGTAACCCAGTTTAGTTTTACTCGTACTCCTTTGGTCTGGGATAATGATCATCTTAGTTTTACTTTTGTTTATGTAGAAAAATAGATATTTTCACACTGAGGAAATATTATACAAAATGTTCAGAATACAGATTATCTTGACAAAATGTGACTTGCAAACAAGCCTTGGTGAATACATTAGGTACAGTGACCTCTTTCAATACAGTTTACTAGCTAGAGGCTAGCTTGTGCAATGGATTAATGCAGCTACCTTTCATTTCTGAAGATGTAGGCTTCAGTTTCTGTTTTAGATCAAATACATATACATTTTGTGACCTCATTCTAGTCTCTAAGGGGCATTTGTCTGCATTGGAAATCTACTGCTCAGTTTGAAGTAGTGCCTAATCTCTCTGTGAACCAGATGAGAGAAAAGCAGACCCCTTGGACTCTTTGAAGAAGAGAGAGAGCACTGGGAGACAAATTTGCTTGTCAAATTTGCTAGAACTTGTCAGGCAGAATTTAGACACCTGGGGCAGAATCCTATTTCATTTAACTTGCCCCAAAGGTGGTTATATTCAATTTGTGATTATGTTTCATGTGCAGTACATGCAAGCACCCATGCACAGTAGGCTGCACTTTGGGTAGGCAACTACAAGGCACCATTCACATATACCCAGGTCTGAAACTGTAGCCAGGTAAAATCCACGACTTACATGGATTTGGAAGAAGCGGGCAGCCACCCCATGTTTTAGCCCAATGTTTTAAGGCACTCACATAGACAGTGGAAGACCCAGGTTTTAGGCCACTGCCACCCAAATGGGTCTTGAACCTACAGGTGCCTCTCCAGTCTTCCTTTTAAAACGAAGTCTCTGCATCTTGCATTTAATAGCCATTGGATACAATGGATTGAGAACAGAGGAGAAGTTTCTGCTGCATTGGAAATGAGACTAAAGGCTTAGTCTCTTCCAGAGCAGCAGGCATCTCACTAATCCACACACACTCTAGCTTGTTTGCTTCTTCCTGGCTCCACATATCTCCCTTTCTGGCCTGCCAGGAAGTCCAATTAATTTTTAAAAAAGTAAGAGGAGAGCAATTTTTATATTGCTTTAAAAATCTTGCAAAACAAGTAAACATTGTAAATACAATACATTTCCTCTTTTCAAAGCTGTTTTTGCTAACATCAACATTTAACAAAAAGTAGTTAGCTATGTTAATCTGAAGTCAGGCAGAAGGGTGGCATCTGAAAGACTTAACAGTCAGAAAGGCATAAACTTGCATAGGCTACAGACTTACTACTTCAGGTGCCTCCTAGCACTCTGAAGTATTAAGAGTACATAATAGCATCTGAAGAAGTAGGAAAACTAATGCCTATGAAAGCTTATGCCTTTCTGAATGAGTCTGCCTTGAAGATGCCACCCATGTTCAGTTTTGGGCCTCCACTGCAAAAAGGATATGGACAAATTGGAGAGAGTCCAGTGGAGGGCAGTGAAGATGGTGAGGGGGCTGGGGGATATGACTTATGAGGAAAGCCTGAGGCAGTTGGGCTGGATGGGCATTTTTACATGCGTTCCCACTATGGCGCCAGGTGCTTTTAATTAGAGAGCTGCGCTAGTTAAAAGTGCCTGTATGTCGCATGTATCAGCAGCGCAGCGTGTCCCCGCATTGAAAAAATGGCGGCGGTGCACTTTGTACTAAAGCACACCAAACGTGTTTTATTTCAAAGTGCATCACTGCTGTTTTCTCAGAGCGGAGACATGCTGTGCTGCTGATGCATGTGACATTCAAGACTGCCAGAGTGCATCTATTTATGTGCTCCAGCAGACTCGATTAATTGTGTCTGCTCTGACACACTGGATTTCCAGCATGTCAGAGCAGGCTCCCTGCATGTGTGTAAGTGCCCATTTAGTTTACAGAAGAGAAAACTGAGGGGGGATTTAATAGCAGACTTCAACTACCTGAAGGGAGGTTCAAAAGAGGATGCAACTGAACTGTTCTCAGTGGTGACAGATGACAGAATAAGGCGCAGTAGTCTTAAATTGCAGCAAGGGAAGTGTAGGTTAGATATTAGGAAGAACTTTCTCATAAGGAGGGTAGTAAAATATTAGAAAAGGCTACCCAGAGAGGTTGTGGACTCTCCATCCTTGAAGCTTAAGACCTGGCTAGACAAAGCCTTGTTTAGGATTATCTAGTTGGGGGTGGTCCTGCTTTAAGCAGGGGATTGGCTAGATCAGCATTTCTCAGCTCATGGGTCGTGACCCAAAAGTGGGTCAGAAGACTATATGAAAGGGTTGTGAACATAATTTAAAAGTGGATTCTCTTTTAAAAGAGAAAAAAAGTGTGAAGCTGTGGGTTTTGCCTTGCAGGCTGGTAGAGTTCCAGCTTAGAAGGGGCTGCTTGGGACCCCCTGGAGACAGGGGGCAGAGGGTTGGGAACAAGGGGCAGTGGCAGGCAGCTGTTTTCTACTTAAACTATTTTTTGGGTCAGGACTGGCCATCAATGTTTACAAATGGGTCCTGGTACAAAAAAGGTTGAGAACCACTGAACTAGATGACTTCCAACTTCAATTTTCTATCATTCTATGATTTTTAAAAGGCTACTGGAAACAGGTAGAATCTGGGTCAACACATAGTATATGCAAACAAGCAAATAGCACTTGCTGAGTGCTATTAAAACACGAGCAAATGCACCTTAGAGCATGTGTTAAGTGACATCCTGGCATTGCAAAGTTTATCCCTTTCAGGTGAGGATTATTTTGAGATTACAGTATCAGGTCATATGTCTCCTGACATTTACTAACATTGTCACAACATTCCAGTGATTTGTAACTGTTGCAAGTGAACATGCCACTACAACCAAGTCCTACCACAGAACAAGGTCAGAACACCAGGGCTTGTGAACACCTACTGCAACATTGGGTTGTTAAATGGCTTTGTACACTCTTGTAGTTCTATATTCATAGACATTAGGGCTGGAAGGGACCTCGGAAGATCATTGAATCCAGCCCCCTGCCCCAGGGGCAGAAAGTCAGCTGGGGTCACAGGATCCCAGCATATTGGTCACCCTATGTAGTGATCCTGCAAAGATTTACATATCTGCCTAATTTAAAGTATGTAAGTAATCCTATTGATTTCAACAAGATTATTCTACACTACAGAACGCTTATGAGACTACAAGAACAGAGTCAATTTTTGTTTGGGGATCATTCTTCTCTAGAGCAGATAAATAAATAGTGTTGACAATGTAAACATAATAAATAATGCTACTATAGGTAATTACTAATACCGTACTAATTCTACAGTATTATTATATATAAAAATGAGTCTTCTGAGTGGAATAGAGAAGAATGGAATTATTCAAATTTTGTTCTAAAAAGATTCTCATATAATAATCAGGAAGATGGTGCAAAAGAGGCTAAGCCCTTAGGCCAAAGAAAAGGAGTTAAAATTTAAAGTATTGGTTTAGGTCATAAGACAATCAACTCTGATAGTAGTTAAATATCTTAGCATATTTGACATACATTTTTAGCAGTAGGCTGGGGGTTTTTTGTTTTTTTCTATTTTCTTTTCCTACAGGAAATTTGAGGAATGTGAACAAAACTAGGAAAGTGATATTTCTAGTATTAAAATATATTATTATTTTTTGCTAGGCAGAGGTTTAGAAACCTATGATTTTGTTGGAATATAATTTGCAAGCAGATCTCAGAACTGGATGTAGCACCTCATATTATGTTTTGGTGATGTGTGTAACAGTTAATCCTTTCCCTCTGAGTTAAATCTTAGTCTTAAATTTACTCTGTAGTCAAGGGAGAATTACTGTACTTGTAGACAAAAACCAGGGGGAAAGGAGAACAGAATTTTCTATCATGACATTTAGACACAAAACAAGGATCTCTGTTTTGCTTGTGACCCTCAAGGTGGTGCTGTAGTCAAAGCATGTGATCTGAGTTTGAATTCCCAAATCAGCTATAACATGTAATTCTACTTCTGAAGTCAATGACAATACTCTCATTGACTTTGTAGGACCAAGATTTCTCTCCTAAGCTCAACCTGAATGAAAAGTGAATGTCTATCCAGGTGGTATACAGAACTGTCATTAAAATGAGGTGGGGAAAAAGTAGTGTACACACTGCCTGGTCTACATTCAAACATATGCTCCCTCTTAAACCAGTCTGAACTGTGTTTGAAAACCTGTGTGAAAGTGTGCTCAGCCTATAGTTCAGACAGGATATAGATTTAAACAGGAGGCACTGCAGAAGGATATTTTCCCAACTCCCCACCCAGGATGGCCCTATTCAAGATTGGGGGAGGTGGGGAGAAATAGCAAGACTGTTTGAAGATGTGGCTATATGTGTACATTTGTAGATTTAAAGGGTGATGGTTCAGGTGTGAAGGTTTCATGCTTGTGTATTGTTGAATTTTGAACATGTGCAGTTGGAAAAGGAACTTTCAATAGTTTTTCTTGTGGGATATGTTAACATCCTTAGGCCCTATTTTTTAGTGATGCAGGTAAGTTTTCTGGTCTATTTCTTCAATCTTTTTTTCTGAAACTCTAATAGCTCCCAGTTTTCAAGGTTAAGTGCCACTAACCTACTCTCCATATTTTGATGTTAGGGTAAGAGACATCTAAAGGACTCTGATGACAAACGAACAAGACTCGCCAGAGAGCTCCTGAGAAGTGAGAGAAACTATGTGCAAATGCTAGAAATTGTGAGGGATGTTTATACTACTCCACTGAAAGCAGCACTAGCTTCAAATCGAGCCATCCTGAGTCATGCAAATGTTCAAATCATCTTCTCTGATATCTTAGAAGTCTTACAGCTCAATAGGTATATATCCTAGAATCTTTAAGTTCATTAAGGATTTCTCATACAACTAGTTAAGCAAGTTATCTCCTTGTACTGTAGTCTGGCCCAGCTGCTTACTACAGCTGTACAAGTCTCTGGTTAGTTCGTAAATCTCCAGTTTTGCAGTTCTAAGGAACTCAAACCAGTGAAAAAAGCATGGAACTGATGTAGTTACCATTTAACTTTTGGCAGTCTGAACGTGATTGTTAGATACTGGAAGAAAGAAAGTAGAATCTTAATTCAGCCATGTTAATTTGAAGAACTCAGAAGTGTAAGAACTAAGGGTCCACTTGTGGAAACAGATCTGAATAGGCAGATCTTTGTACCTACCCAGGGCCCCAGTGAAGTGTGTTCCTGTAGAGAGGCAGTAGTTTGTTGCATAAATCTGAAGGTAGAATCATGGTCTAAAGAGGGCCTGGGTCCTAAGTCTGGATCAAAGTTTACACCTTTCTCAGATGGGCCAAACTTTGGATTTGGGTTCTAAACCTGAAGCTCATTAATGTCATATTCTATAATTTGTTGGTGGGGGGCGGGGGGGAACAACAGAAATATGAAGATCCAGTACAGGATAGGCACTCAGATCCATGGTTCTGGTTCATATCCAACTGCAGGAATACTTTTTTCCCCTTAAAAAAAAAAAGTTTCTATGGCCACTGCAAGTTTACAAATAGAAATGAAAAGACTGAGACACATTAAGTACTTAAGTCACTATTCCTCTTAGTCTCTTCCTTCCAAGATGATTTGGAATAGACTTCAAGGAAACTATGAATTTAGGAAGCAAACTGTTACCATAACAGAAGCAAGAATGTAAACCAGAGACTTGGGAGCCAAAAATAGTTAAAAGTATTTTAAATCCTTTCACAAATAACATCTAAAGACCTAAGAACAAAGCTAATAAAAACAGCAGACAAACGGAGCTTTCATCCCTGACGTGTCTATTAAAGCATCTGAGTAGAAGGAGGTATTAATAAAAAAGGAAAAAAACTGAACTAGTAGAATGAAAGAAGACTACCAATATACGTTTTATGATCTTCAATTGAAAATGTTCACTCATGTGCATGAGATGTTCAGAGATAGTTATAAAAATTTCTGTTAATAACTGTATGCTAGGAATTTAGACAGGATTGAATATATAGATATATAGATATATCTATATATATATATATATATATATAAAGTCTTAAAAAGGTGCAACTCAGTTGACTAGAAATAGAATCCAATCTGGTGCTTAACTTCCGTCATTCATTGGTGCAACAGTACCTACTTGGAAACCTCTATTTGGGTAACTTATACAGTCACCCTTTTGTTATTGCTTTGAAAGATTTCTACAGCTAACATCTTTAAATTATCCAAAATTTATGGAAGAAAATGCACGCATGTTTCTCTTCCTAAGTATTGAAGTTCCATTTCCAAGTTACCCAAATAGGGAAGGTTTAAATGAGAGAGAATTTATACTTATACACTGGCTTTCATCTAGAATAATCCTGAAGAACTTTATACAATATACAAAAATTACTTCAACCATTGGGGTGATGCTAACTAGAATGAAATATAGGATCTGGAATAACAGACACCAATTAAAAGAACCGAGAACTATTTTTAAATTAGGAAGGACATAGTTATCTAAACAGTAATGTGGCCAGGGTATTGCTGGTAAAAAAATCTTTGTCCTCTTCTTTTAAATGTAGGGAGATTTTAGATGACCTGACAGAAAGACTTGAAGAATGGAGTCCAGCCCAGTGCCTGGGTGACATATTTATTAAATTTGGCCTGCAGTTGCAAACATACACCAACTTCTTCAATAACTACACTGTCATTCTGAAAACGATTGATAAAGTAAGTACTGTAACAACTGTGAACATGCGTTATGTAGCCCCAATCTTAATTTATTTTGCTGAAAATGTAAACAACTACTTCTTCAACCTTATTGAGTAGAACAACATTTAATTAATGCTTCATTCCACAAATTAACAACATTTAATTAATGCTTCATTCCATCTGTTCCACTAGAATCATGGAGAAGCAGGGTTGAAAGGTCATCTAGTCCAACCCCCTGCCCAAGGCAGGATCATCCTGATCCAAATCCGTTATCTAAACTCTCAGCCCTGACACAACACAAAACATAACACTCTAAGCTGGCACAGGTAAAGCAGGGGAACCACAACAGCCATTGATCTGCTTCTGTAAAAAGACGTTTGCGCATGCTCAAGATACTGGGGGTATGCGAAGCGGGCCCTATTTGATTTGGATTTGGCCCAAATCAGCGACAGTAATTCGATTAGTTGATTAGGATCACTGTCCCCGAATCAATTTGGCCAAATCCGAATCTGACGATTCAATGATGATTTGGAGAATCGGTGATTCGGACGTAGACACAGCTCTAAATGTTTTTTCTACATACCTTGAGGTACCACCATGGCTCATGAATACTGCGATGCTGGGGCAGATGGAGCGTCCCACAGGAGTGTGGGGGGGCCCTCCATGTGCTTTGTGGCAAACCTGGAAGTGGACCAGAAGTACTTCCAGTCCACTTCCAGGTCTGCCAGAGAGTGCATTGGGTGCCCCCCCACCACATCCCTTTGGCTCAGCAGTTGGCCATGAGGGGACCCCAGGTGCCCCCCCCAGGCCCAGGAGGCAACAGTTTCCGAGCCAGAGTGGCATGGGGGGGGGGACCCAGCATGCTCCCCAGCAGACCTGGAAGTGGACTGGAAGTGCTTCTGGTCCACTTCCGGGACTGCTGCTGAGTGTGCTGGGGAGCATCCCATGCTCCCCAGCATGAGTGTGCTGGGGAGCATCCCATGCTCCTATGGGATGCTCCATCCACCCCAGCATCGCAGCACTCATGAGCCCCCGCTACCTAGAGGTACGTAGAAAAAACATTTAAAGCTGTGAATATGTCTGAATCTCCGAATCTTTCTGAATCTCTCCAAATTGATTTGGAGGGTTCCGATTTGATTTGGAGTGATTAAAGGGTCCTCTGATTCTATTTGGATTCAGAGATTCAGCCACCGAATCAGGCTGAATCTCCGCCAAATCAAATCAGGGATCGAACAGCCCTACAAGATACCCCAGGTAGAGGGCCATGCCTACACAAGACAGGAAGGCAAACACCACCCCCAGTCTATACCAATCCAACCATGAGATAAAATTCCATCTTGACCCCAAATACCGTGATTGGTCTGAGCCTGAGTGGAGGGGCAAGACCCTCTAGCCAGGAACATGTGGCTTTAAGTCCTAGGATAACTAGCACACCCCAGTCAAAATGTCTAGTTTTGGTTGCAGTCAAAACTCAATGCCTCTGAGGAAGACTTAAAAACACCGACACCTCTAACAGAAAGGGGAAGGAGGGAGGCAGAGACAGCCAGCAAAACCCAGAAGCATGGCAAACACCCATAGTAGAACATAGGCATAGGTATGCCTAGATCAGGGGTGTCCAACCTTTTTGATTGTGTGGCCAGATCATGAACTTCTTATCACCCAGTGGGCCGGTGAGCCATATTCAAAGACCTCCCAGGAATGGTATCACATCACCCCCCTGAAACGAAAGTAAAGTTTACTTTCGTTTCCTGTCGCAGCACCTTGGACCTCAGAAAACAGCTTGGAGGGCCGCATGGCAGTCCACAGGCCGCATGTTGGACAAGCCTGGCCTAGATGATCCCCAACCAGTGGCTGTTCAGCCTCTTCTTAAGGCTGATGGAGAGTCTATAACTTCCCTAGACAGTCTGAAAGAAATTCTAACCATGAAAAAATTATTTCTTGATATCCAATTTAAATGTACTTTGTGGCAACTTCAAATCACTGGTCTGAGTTCTGCTGTCTGCTGCAAGAGAAAGTTTTCTCCCTCTTCTTCATGGCAGCCCTTCAAGTATTTGAAGACTATTATCACATCCCCTTTTAAGCATCTTTTCTGTAAGCCAAACATGTCTAACTCTTTCAGCCTCTCCTTGTATGACTTGGTTTTCCCAGTGCAGTCCCTAGGGCTGGGACTGACAACCAGCTGGACTTCAGCACTTGCAATCCCTGTTCTGAAGGTTTGTTAGTAAAAAGAAAAAAAAGTATTATATGAGGAGAGGTACTGTATATGTTAAACTTTAGGTTTACTCATCTTGATAGGCCACACATGACTTTAAAGGTACATTTGTAGTATGGTAATTGTACTATACTATATTTATAGGTGATACTATACTATATATATTTATACTATACTATATTTATAGACCATGCCTTTAATAAGGGTAATTTTGATGATAGCATAATTTAAAGTAGCAAAGTCTCCAGCAAATTGATATCTGTTAATCCATTTCTATTTACAGTCACATTTTTACCTTTCACAGTGCAGACAAACTGTTCCTTTATTTTGGGCCTTCTTGAAAAGACACGATAAGACAATTGCTACTAACATGAGGAGGTAAGTTCTGCAGCACAGTTGCACTGTGTCAGGGCACAAAAATCAGATTCTGGGATTAAAACTAGATCCCTTATGAGAATCACAGGCTCTCGATTTAAAAACACTCTGCAAACACTACTGAATAATCATGGTCCCAGCTAATTTATGGATTGTGTGTATGTAATGTAGCTTACAGGAACTGCTCTTATGCCCTTCTAGAAGATTTGAGGAGTATATTAACTTTCTTTATGCTCTGAGACTTCACACACCACCAGACCATGCTGACCGGGAAGACCTGACAGCTGCAATCAAGAAGATGAAACAGTACAAGGACTATGTGGATCAGGTCTGTCATCTCCGAAGTCCATGTTCTCTTCTCGTCTTATGAGGTCATCACAAAAAGCCAGGAAATTTCAACAGGAGATGGGACATGAGCTGTCTTCCTCACCCAGTCCTTCTCACTGGGGAGAACTGCTTCCCTCTCTAGTCCAAATGCCAGAGCAGGGGAGACAGCAGTCCTGTCAACCAAGTTTCCTTAATAGTTCTTAGTGGCTGTCCTCTATTAAATACTTTGATGCAGCAGTATAAAAGGATCAAAAAATGGACAAACAGACCCCAGGAATAACTTCAGTAAAGAGAGGTTTCCTAGATGGGGTAGTGCTTCGGTGACATGTCAGGGTTATGGGACACTGGGCTCCAGCTGTTCTGAACTGAACAATGTGTTTAACTCCACTGACAACTAAATATTCTCTTTGCCTTCTATATTTTATGAAAATAGAAGCTCAGATAGGTTATCAGGCATAAGAAAATACCTAGCAGCTGGTTTGTTTATCCTGTAGGAGAGCTCCAAAGATATCTACACACACTGCCAAGGAATACAAAACATTAGGCTTGTCAAACCCTTGGCTTATTTTTCCTTGAGAATCTGAAACATAAGTTATTTTCTTAATCCAAACTTTCAGCACCAAATCTAGTTTAATGAAACTAACTCCTATATCATCAAACCACCTAGAACTGCCCACACATGAATCAGATTCCCACTCAGAGCTTATTAAAATATATGGGAATGTACTGATTTAAGCATGATTTGGATGAGGGTCTTTGTACAGCATACATTCTTCTCCCAGCCAAATCAGAATTAAATTATTTGTTCTCTAAAATTACTTTTATTTTCCAGCTACAGCTGAACATCAGCAGGGATGAGCAAATGCTAAATGCACAAAGAATCATCCAAGGATGCCCTGTAAGTATTTCCATCTTTTTAAAGGTAAATTATTTTATTGGATTGTATTTTTAACTCTGTTTCAGGTAGCACTTGCAGTGTTATAGCTCTTCCAGCATAAGCCTTTTTTGGTTTTTTTTCCCATTGTTGACTCAAGTTAAGTCAATAGCAAAAATATTGATTTTACTGGGGTGAGAATTTCACCTGTATGCACAATCTACTTCCAAACGAGTTTTAACTGGGGCATTTTCAGAGGTTCCGAATCTAAAAAAACTGGCTTTATAGAGTTAAAGACTATAATAACATCTTAAATAAAATTTAAAAAGTAGTAAAATACTTATAAAATAACATTATAGTTTACAGATTTCAAGGAATTTTTTTTTTTTTTTAATTTTGGTGAGACTACTTTGATTGATTTGTGTATCCCTCTATAGAAGGGGCTCGGAGGGAACCATAAAACACAGAATACTGAAATGACCTTTAATTAATGCTGCAGTCTAGCACAGCTAAGAGATAATAAAGAGAAGGAATGCCAAAAACACAGTTATCAACCCTTCTGTGGTGAAGCTGTGGAAGAAGATAAAAATATTGGAAACAGAATTAAGGTGACACCTACAGAATAAAACTCGCTGTGCCATTTTCTGCAGTGGCATTTTCATGCTGTGTTGTGATAGATGGGTTGCTTCCTAAAACCAAAACTTTGTCCAAGTCATGCTTTAAGTGGGCTGATTAACACGATTTCCTGTGCCATGTGGGTGCAGCTATACTCCTTACAGCTTAGAAGACGGTTCATTTCAATAAGTACAGTATATCTGAGGATGCCATTTAGGAGAAAAGCTTGTTTACAGTGCAAATGCAGCTTTACTGGCAACTTTCCTTTACTTGCAAACATTTTTTGTCCTTTGCTGGCTGGCATCCTGCAAAGCAAGCCAGTTCTCAGACTTCAGCAGCACTACACAGAATCTAGAAAATACAGAACTTTAAATTTTGTTGTAAATTATCTTATGACTAAGGGTAGGAGAAGCCAATGTGGTCAGACACAGTGATTAATAAATGAGAGATCACATGATGACATTACACCAGGAGTTCTCCAACTTGATCAAATATTAACTCTTTCTCTGGCCTTGGTCACCATGAAGATGAATGAAGAACTTGTCTCTGACATTTAAGTGAGAGAAAAATGGTGTTCTTACCTGGCACACAGGGGCCACTAAGAATTTGGTAAACGTTCTCTAGGGAATGTGGCTGATCTAAAAGTTAGAAAGCAGAAATGAAAGTGTTGATGCTTTCCAGACAAACAGAAGGAAGCTATACTTTATAAGACATGTATTGACTTGTTAACCTTCTATGAACTATTTATAAGTATATCAGGAGATATACTTTCCAAGAAAACGATACAGTTGCCATAGGATCAATCAGGAAATTAGGTGTTCCTCAGATTTTTTGAGCAGATATTCAGGATGGGGGTTGACGATCTCCATCTGTAACTAATTTGTACAGACCCACCCACTAAGGAGAAAATAGGATAAAATCCCCTTGACTTCCTGAAAATCAGAAAAGAATAAAAATATTAAAGGTCCAGATGTGTTTGGTCTCAACAGTCATTTCTGGATAGAAGAACATGGTCTTCTTGTTCAGAACTTGACACTGGACAGGGCTTCTGAGTCATGCCATTAATAAATCCTTATGAGTATGGGGCCAGACGTACTTTTCACAAACCATATTCAAAGTTCTCAAATTCCTTACAGCACGGTCATAAGGACAAAGCAAAAAAACAGGAAGTGTGAGAACATTAGGAGAAGCTGGGCCAGCAGACCTTCTGAAAGCTGGTTATGCAGGAGAAGATGGATGAGCCTCAGGCCTCTAATTTGCAAATGCCCTAGCCCATTCATAGAAATATTTTAAGGGACTGATTATCAAAATTTCCCTTTGGAAAGGGTCCATTGATCTGGCAGTTCTACTGAACAGAGCTGTGGGCCACACAGGTACCTGGACGAAAGGTGCATACAAGGCCAGATTCACTGCTTTCTGCATGAAGGGGGCCAAAGACAATGGAGAACGTTAGAAGCTGCTTTCTTGCTTGCAGCTACATAAAGCCATATGCACAAGTTTCTGTCTTTGCAGATTGGTGGATAAATGTTATGTGACAGTTTTTTTAGGCCAACAGAATTTCTTTTGATGTTAGATTTTGTAGCTTGCATGATTTAATCAAATTCTGTAAAATTTTAAATTGTGTAACTAAAGCTAGCTGAAAAGAGGGATTTTCCCCTCAGTGGAAAATGCTGACCTTTTGGAGAAAAAGATCAAGATTTAAAAGAAAGCCAAAATACTTTTCCTCTGGAAACAGTGCCATGATTCTATCTCCACCCCACTCCCCCGGGGAGCTGCAGTTCAGGTAATTCCTACTTTCATTGCTTGGACTACACGAACAGGATTTCCTGGGCACAAAGTCTTCAGTACATTGGAAACTCTAACCAGTACATGATGCTGCAACATATCTTCTCAGCAACACAAGTTAATGTCAACATATCAGCCCTCTGCTCTGCTCTATACACCAACTTCTCATAGAATTTCAAATGAAGTTAAAATCTCAACCTTATCTCTAAGGCCTTCCATAGCTTCAGCCCGTGTCAAAAAGACCACAAGTTCTGAGTTAAAGACTGGGATAGACAATTTTGGTCCTTTGGCACAGTGGCACTCTAACCAGTAAAGCTTGTCTACTTGGGAAACAGCGCATCCTTGGGGACTGGTCTGAGACTGCAATGAACTCTCCCAGGAACTAAGAACTAACCAAGCATGGCACATTTCTTTCATCTTGCCTTCTCTAGCAAAAATGCATAGCAACATGAATGTTAAAGAAAGCAAACCCTCCATGAAAGCTCTGATGTACCAGAAAATACAAGACACTCACCTTCATCTGTTTCTCCCCTAGGAAAAGGATGAGGGAACAACCAACCAACCAAGCACATGACAGATGTACAGTTTCACTACTTAATGACTTTCTGGAAGGTACTTGGCAATGATAGGGGCGAGCACAGTATAATAACGCATATAGAACAGAAGAGATGCTTACGCTCCCATTCTCAACTCTTGCTGTCAGACAGTCTTCACAATGAATGTGACTGCTGGAGGCAGACCACATCTTTGCTCTGAGGGCTGATCTCCCTAAAGTTCTGTCTCCCCGCAGCGAACAAGGCAGAGATCACAGCTCCCTTTGAGACAGAATGATCATAGGATTTCTAAAAGTTCAGATAAAGGTGTTTTCTCTTCTGGCTTCAATTTTTTTCTCCTTCAGCCTAAAAAGCCGTAAATTAAAAGTTTTTTTGGCTTTCTGAGAAGGGCTTGAAAGACAGCATCTCTCATTCTCTGCCTTCAGCACTCCCAGTCAGTGTGTGGATAAGGACCACTGAGATAGTTGAGCAGGCTGCAGGAAATGCAGCTCTCAGCCAACATGGGCTCCAGGCCCTTCTTGAAGCACCTTTTACTGACAGCATGCCAAAAAAATCAGTGGTCTGGCTTGGGGTTAAATTTTTCAAAGTCCCTTTCCTCCCCTAGTCTTCAGACACTTATTCCCATAATTTGCAGAATACACAAGAAAAAAAATGACTAGAGCCTCACGAATCTAAAGGGAACACAACAATCAGGGAAAGGAAATGCTTGCTTCCAGCCAGCACAGAAAGCGAGGTCTTTATTGAAATGGCTGAGAAGGCTACAAAGAAATTCCCCCTTGTCAGCTGTTTTACCTGAGAGGCCTCACCTACCATGAAAAGTTCCAGCAGAAAACAATGAGGCATTTGTTTCTGAAGTCTCTCTCTCTCATTATTTCGTATGGTCCGTCAGTCCCCAGTCAGCCGGGGCAGCAAGCATGAGGGTAAAATCTCACTCAAGGTTCAGACATGCTTCCCTGACAGGTGGACTGCTCACCTCTTCTCTTCCCCTTCCCAGGCATCTCCCCTTCCTTCTTAAAGGGAGAAGGTAAAATATGAAGTATTCCACAGAGAGGAAATCTGTCTTCTAGGTCCTCTAAAGATAAGGAGATCTAAAGCTGAAAGTTTGAGTGAGATAACTGAGACTCAACTAAGCATCTCAGAATAAAGCATGACTGGGTTTCATGAAATTCATCAGTACTTATTGATTTAGAAAATTTAAAAAAAGATACTTGCAAAGTTGAAAAACTTGTGTAGTTCTTCCTTACCTGGTTTGTAAGAGTGTGACTTCTCTATTAAAACCTACTTGCACGGAAAGACTTAAAGTTTTACCTGCACAATAAAGGACCAAGAAAGTATTCCTGCCATGCACAGATAGGGGAAGATCGTTCAGCTTGGAACCCGGATACAGCAACCTTAGTCTTGAGCTGCAGTTTCTTTGTACCTGTAAGGCTAATGTGAATATATTCAAACCCTCTCAAAAGTCCTGTAGTTAAAATCTATTTTAAATTAGATTTCCCCAACCACTTTGTAGCTTTTTCAGGACAGATGATTCAAATAACTGTATGCTCAAAACTTCCATGTTTTGGGACAAGCTTAGAAAGGAACCTCACAAGAAGTGGGAACTTGGCCACATTACTAAGGATGAGTGAGAATAGCACAGACATAGAGGGAGAAAAAAATAAGGAAGGTCAAAGCCCAAATTGGGATATAACTAGCAAGACATAGAAAGCAATAAAAAAAGTATTCTATAAAGCCCTTGGCGGATGTTACATTTAGGTTGCTATTAATATGTTCATTGTTACACGCCACACTATTAAGAAATGTATTACCTGGTAGAAAGCTGCAAAAAAAATGAATGATGATTCAGCCCCAAAGATGTTCCTTGTTAAATATGGAATCTCTTTGGGGTTTGTTTGTACTGTGCTTTAATTTGAATGTATGGCATGTTACACTGAGTGAAAGTGTTTAGCCAAGCCTTCCAGCATCCAAGGGTGCATTGTTTTATCCCCTCTCCCCCAACTTCTTTCCTTCAAGGGGACTCATACTGAACTCTGCTGCCCCAGGGAAGAGATTAGGTCCTCTACTGAATGGGGAGTAGAAGTTAAGAGTGGTTGAAGCAGAAAGGCTAAAACATTTAATGCCTTTTTTCTTCAGCCGTAACAAAAAAGATCAGTTATCAGATGTCAGGCAGAAATCAGGGCAGGGTGGCACCTTAGGATGCCTATACACATGCAGCACAGCTTCCCCTATGCGCTGTAATTACAGCATGCCGGCGCAGGTTCGATTAATCGAGTCTGCTGGAGTGTGGTAATTGCTGCACTCTAGCGTAAAGTGTACCAGTGTCCCCGCACTAAAAAATGGCAGTGAGGGTGCTTTAACTAAAGCAAACCCGCTGCCATTTTTCAGCACAGGAACACTGATGCATGAGACGCTCCGAGAGCTTTAATTAGCTCCATAATTACAGCAACTTTTGGAGCCGCTCTGTTTAAAGCGCCCTGTCCCCACTCCCAGAGCACATGCTTAGAGACTAACTTGTTCAGAGATGCTTACTAATTAGGTGACAGCCTACTTTGTCAGATGTTATGAATGGACTTGAGTCTGACTTCAGACTAACATGGCTATAACTACCTTTGTATTCGAAGACAGGTACAGTTAAGAGCAACCATACAGGAGACGATAAATCTTGCATAGGAAAACACAGGTCAGATTATTTAAACTAGTTGGATGTTTACCAGGGCTTGATGGGATTCATCCTAAAGGACATAAGGAATTATCTGAAGTAATTTAAGAGCCAAAGACTACTATCTTTGAAAACTCATGGAGGTCAAGTGAGATCTCACAAGACTGGAAAAGGGCAAAAATAGTGCTTATCTTTTAAAAAAGGGAACATGGAAGACCCAAAGAATTGCACATTAGTCTTTCTAACCTTGATAACCAGAACAACAATTTCTCAAGTCTGGGCGGATCCCTTTCTTTATGAGGGAAGGATCTGATCATTGGCCACAAACATTCAGTATCTAAGTTATTGTTCCAAACTATCTTTACTTCAAAAGAGAGACAGGTCATTTCCCATCTGATTTGCTAAACAGTAGTAGACCTTTCTAAAGATAATGTTTCTGACAAAACCACTATGCACACTGGTGTCCTGTGGGAATACCATCTTGCTTCATTTCCAGCCAGCAATTGCAGCTACATTGTATATAAAGATTCTCCCATGCAGGGGGAAATTTTTTTTTGACTATTACATGACTTGAGATATGGCCCAAGAGGGAGAAATGGATTATAATCTGTCTCATGCTGTGGACAAGCAAACTCATGCCTCCATTTTCTTTCCTCCAGTTTTTTCAGAATTGTGTATATATAACTACTAACATGGCAGAAAACCTTCAGTGTTGCTTAGATGTAGTTGGAAGCTCTGCTCTGCTGCTTTTCTTTAGTTCCTCTCCTCTAGACTGTGTGGGTAGGCCTTGTAGATCATGAGCCCAGGCTCCGTCCTTGAGGTTGAGACCTTCAGGCCAACCTGTAGTGTCTTTACTGCCCCTGATTTATCACCCTCCCTGGAATAAAAGTCAAAAGTCTAACACCTTTGTCCAGAAGGGCTTTATGGAGGGTACTAGAATGAAAATTCATGGGTTATATTTTCCCTTTCCTTGGCCATCATGAATTTTTGAGTAATTTGGCTCTGAGACCAGATGATGGAAGAAAGAATGACAAAACATTTCAGTTTTGGAAAAGGGGTGTGTGTGTTTTATTTGTTTTTTGACACAATCAGGATTTTCTGCAGAAAGCAGAAATTTTCCATAAACAAGTTGCTTAGTCATGCATCTTATTTCTGTGACAAACAGTTTGGAGGAAAATTTTCAAATAGCCCTACAAATTAAATTTGTGATTTAATGACAAATTGATTTAATCAGTCTCACCTCCATCCTTGGCAAAGTCTTTGAAAAAATTATCAAGGCTCACATTTGTGAGAGCCCGGCAGGACAAATTATGATGAGGGGAAACCAGCATGGGTTCGTGGCAGGCAGATCGTGCCTGACCAATCTAGTTTCTTTTTATGACCAGGTTACGAAACGCCTGGACACAGGAGGAGGGTGGATGTTGTATACTTAGACTTCAGGAAGGCGTTCGATATGGTATCCCACCCCATACTGGTGAACAAGTTAAGAGGCTGTGACTTGGATGACTACACAGTCTGGTGGGTGGCGAATTGGCTGGAGGGTTGCACCCAGAGAGTCGTGGTGGATGGGTCGGTTTCGACCTGGAAGGGTGTGGGAAGTGGGGTCCCACAGGGTTCGGTCCTTGGACCGATACTCTTTAATGTCTTCATCAGTGACTTGGACGAGGGAGTGAAATGTACTCTGTCCCAGTTTGCGGATGACACAAAACTGTGGGGAGATGTGGACACGCCGGAGGGCAGGGAACAGCTGCAAGCAGATCTGGACAGGTTGGACAAGTGGGCAGAAAACAACAGAATGCAGTTCAACAAGGAGAAATGGAAAGTGCTGCACCTAGGGAGGAAAAATGTCCAGCACACCTACAACCTAGGGAATGACCTGCTGGGTGGCACGGAAGTGGAAAGGGATCTTGGAGTCCTAGTGGACTCCAAGATGAACATGAGTCGGCAGTGTGACAAAGCCATCAAAAAAGCCAATGGCACTTTATCGTGCATCAGCAGATGCATGACGAATAGGTCCAAGGAGGTGATACTTCCCCTCTATCGGGAGCTGGTCAGACCGCAGTTGGAGTACTGTGTGCAATTCTGGG